AGTAAGCAAGGAGGAAGCTTACTTCTTTGCACTGCAATATCTCTCCGTTTGCTTTCTTCAGTCGTCGCAACATACTCGTGAAGTACCAGAAACGCGATTTTGCAATTACATGATTGCTCGCAAATATTTGCATTTTATAGATCGGCCCATTCGGCTCCTTCTCGGTCGGCAGTTTACGCCCAACAACAATGAACTCCCTCAACTGCAACACAGCAAATTCAGCTTTTTAACAAAAAAAAAAAAACTATGGCCACAATAACAACAATGAAAATGGTGATAGGAACAGTAAAAACAACAACAGCAAAAATGATAATTGGCCAACGCATAGGCTGCCCGTGCGAAGATGCGTTTTTTGCATGGCTCCCCGCAGATTTTTGTCGCTAACGGCACTGTTTTTTGCGGCAAATGCTTCTAGCTAAAAGAATTTCAGACTGGCTGCCAGGACTGTCAGGAAACACCCCTTCAAAATTCCAGTCATCTAGCTTCTCACGTTCTCGAGTTAGCAACTTATCCGGAAGAAACTTTCACAAGCCCGTATGTAGGTACCACGCTTACCCGCGGACAAGGTTTGAACTCCTTAATACCCACTTGGACGGGGAACAATCCCCTAAGATTTCAGCGTTCTAGCTTCTCATACTCCCGAATTATGAACTTACGCCGAAAAAACTTCGGCAGGCTCGTACACGGGTACCACGCGGGTGATGGCACCCATTTAAGGGATTTGGGCCGCCACGTGCATGTAGATTAAGTTCCCGAAATTTCAGTCCTGCAGCTTTTACAGATCTTGAGATGGAAGTGCGTGACAGACGCACACAGAGACACATTGCATAGCTGTAAAAAACACATAATAAAATGACTGTTAATAATTACGACAGTAAGAACTACAATAATAACAGCGAAATTCATAATAACAAAAGTCAAAAACCCCCTTCGTATTCGTCTTCAGTGAGAGGTAGAGGTAAAAGAGAAGCAGCCGGAGTGCTAACAAATGGCAACAGCAATCATTCGCTGACAAGGATGTCGATGGCTCCCTCTTTCGAGAGTTGCTTACTAGGGCTCATCAGCTTGCTTATAAACAACCCTCAGTAACAGTGCTAGCGACACCACAACCTAAATACTACAAAGATCCCGCGGCGTACACATCACCAGGAGACAGTACCCCACTAATCTTACGAACTGAACAATTTGCACCTCAGTTCTGTAGCTTCTACTTCAATAGAGTTCCGCATCCATAAGCGAATCCAAGACAATGTCCTGGGGGATCGAGGGGACGCGGGGTCACGGGGGATGGGGGGAGGGAGGGGATGACAGTGGGGCGGTGGAATTTTCGCCCGATAATCTAAAGTTTTTTGCAGCTTACTTCGAAAACTATTAATGGTGTTTTTCGTTCTCCTATAACTCTGGATTTAGGCTGTTGCAGCGATGGAAAAGTTAGGTAGCTGGTGTACCAGTGAACAGGGCCATTCCATCCCTCCCCCCCCCCCCCCCCCCCCCCCCCCCCCC